TTGTTAGGAAACCTAAGATTCCCCTAGACAGTGATGGCTTTCAACAATGAAGACTCTGAAAATTCTGGGCAGGTCATTGATGTCTCATGGCATTCATGTGGCAAATGATTGTCTAAGATGTCTAAAAGCTAAAGAATGTGATGTTCTGTTCTCAGAATTGAATGGAGGCAATGCTACCATTGCTTCCTTGTATTATATTTCTAAGACTGTAAGTGAGACAATATGGTGGCATTAAATAGTATTAAAATGTATTATTTTTATGATTTTGACTCTAACTAGTAATAGTTTGATTCTACCCAGTGATAAGAACCATTTAAAAAATTTAAGTTTAGTACCAGATTGTGTGAGTTTTGGGGCCAAAATGAAAGAAAGAAAAAAATATTTGTAACCAGGAATTTCAAGTTGTAATGGTCAAAAGCCCCAGCAAAGGAGCTGGAAACAAATCCCCCCATTCCTCTCAGTGCCAGTGTGTTTAGAGTTATAGAGTCACACATCATTGATTTCTGGGGTAGGATCACAATGCTATATCACCAAGATGTTAAATAAAATGTATGTGTGTCTGTGTACATGTGCACATGTATGTGTATGTGTGCATAAATGTGCTATTGGATTTTGAGTTACTGCTAACTCCAGAACAGATTTTGATACTTTACATTTGGTTTATAACATTGTTGACTAATTTGGGATCTTTTGTTCCTTGGCACCCATTTTCATTAAATTGATGGTTTGCCATGAAATGCACTATATTGTATACTAGTTTAAAAGACACTGGCCATTCAGAGAAGTATGGTGGAACTGAACAATACAGAGTTCAGCAAGGCTGAAGCCCTGATGGCTTGGTTTATTTGTGTTCCCAAGTAGTGAGGTAAGATCATGGCTGAGGGAGGAAGAAGATGGTATGAAGAATTACCTTGCCCGTATTTAATCCTTCTAAAGAATTTAATGAGGGCAGTTTACACCAGTTCAAAATGATCAACTGGGCATTTTTAAGGAGCTTAAAGTCTGGTCAGTCATTTTGCTTGCAAATGGAGCGAGAGGGTTTTCTGCAGATCAAGCAGAAGAAGTGGTGGCTGTTAGCACAAACCCGCCAGGGAGCGAAGAGAGCCACAGCAGTTCTTGCTTAGTGGTTTTTGCAATCATGCCAGAAAGATTTCTTTCTTCCTTCCTCCATCCTTCTCTCCCTTCCTTCTTTCCTTTCTTTCTTTCTTTGTTTCTGATAGATTTCTGATGTCACTAAAAGTAGCAGGCATGAGTTTGTTAAAAAGGAAGGAGAAGAAAAATGGGGACACTGTAAAGGAAAAAAAGTGCATCCTCTTAGAGAGGACAGAGTCAACTCCTACTGCCAAGCAGTTTTACTGGAAGTTCCAGGGAAGTTTCCAGAGAGCCTTGACCAGGTACTTCTCTTGACTATTGACTGACAGCAGGATTGCATCAGACTTCCATGTCTCCACTGCACATGGTAAATATCCAAGGCAACTCTGAGTCACTTTGGCCCACCCTGATAAGCTCTAATTTTCCTGTGTTTCTGAATTCTGTGTGGTCTATCTAAGAGTCATTAAAGTCTCATCTGGTGCTCTCCTTTAGGATAAATTGTGCAGTACTTATTGTCAGGAAGGAGCATTACAGGTCTGCAGATAATAGGTTTATTGCTAAGGAATTTAGCATGTTCTATTGACTTAAGGTAGGCAGGGCTGCAGGTGAATTGCTTTTTAAAAGAAAATGTGAAATCAGCACAGTAGACCCATTTCATAGAATTATCCCCTTAACTTATGTTCCCCTATTCACATCCGTTTGTTTCCTATTGGTGTTGATGCCTACAAATCCGGAACAGCTAAATCCAAACCTTAAGCAACACACATAACAATACATAACAAGCCTTATGCCTTAAGTTGGGTGAATGATTGAGAACTGCTCCTCTGGGGAGATTTCCACAGTTGTGATCTGGTTCCCTGGTCCACTGCAGAGCACAGCTCCTTCACTAAGCAAGACTTTTGTAACTAAGTCCTAGACCAGAGGCTTGATTCTGGGGATCCAATAAATCAGGTCTCGCCCCTTGCCTTAAAACAGAACTAAATAGAAAATTAATGGTGGAAAAAAGAAAAGGAGCTTGGATCAATATAGCTATACTGGGGAGATAAGGGGGACCCATGTCTAAACCCTGAGTTTGAGGGGATGACAATAAGTTGGAGGTTTGATTGAAAGGGGATTGAGGGAAAAGGTTGGGGTTTGCATAGCTGGATGGTTTGCAGAGCTACCAAAGCAGGTGATCTTGTTTAGGTGTGGTCTGATTCATCATTATCTCAGGGTTTGTCAGGAGGAGTCTTGTCACATGGGGCCTTGTTACCACAGAAAAGTTGCCATTATTTTGCACATAGTTTTGACTTATGTCACAAGATGTTTGTTAGAGCTTTTTTTTTTTTTTGTCCCTGGAATCCAACATCACTCTAGAAGAGAATGGCTCAGGAGAACTCAGAAGGAGAGATAAAAAGAGTTACAAAGATAAGATGGAGTCAAAATGAAGTTAGTTCAGTGACTGGGTTCTCCTTCCCTTTCATTGCTTTGGAAAAGAGGACTGGGCTGGTTATTGCAGACCATAAAGTGTCACTTTGTCTTCATCACCTTCAAGGGGACAGAGCCTAGGCAGGATTTGATTCTAATTTTGACAATAAGTCTTGAGGAAACAGTGGAGGAAAGGATACTTATTATCACACATAGAAGTAGGGAAATGGTGCTGCATGAGTAGACCTGGCAACCCTCAAATGCATATGGCAGGGCTACTAAATGTCAACTGCAGTGAATGACACTTTATTTTTTGGCTTATTATTTAGCACTGAAAAGCATGTAGTGGAGATGATTACAGTAGCACTTTGGGAGACTGAGGTACTCTCTGGCCCATGCTTTGGAGAGATACTATGCGTGGTCTTCCACCAGGCTAAACAGGAAACCTCCAAAATCCATATTGCCCCAGAGAAGGATGACCAGCCCTGAAAAAGTCCACTGTCCAAAAAGGTGATACTTTCTTGGCGTTTTTAAAGCTGCCTTTTGGATTTTCTGGACCAAATAGCCCACTTTTTCTTTTGAAGAAAATGAGAGTTTTTTTTTTTTAAATATGGGAGTGGAGGGAGTAAGCTAGTGTGGTAGTACAGTGGGTAAATAAGGAGAAGACTTGGACACTTATATTGCAAACTCTCCTGGAGGTTTCAAGTAGCATCATTAAAGGAGCTTCATTTTTAACTTCATCTTCTTTTTTATCACCTAATCCTCCTGAAGTTATGGCAGAGACTCTGCGATAATACCTGACCCTGGAAAGGCCAACCTGCCAAGAGAGTGGATAAGCAAATTGGTCTAGATAGCATGTTGACTTTTGTATTAATGCAATGGTTTTTCTTTGTTTTAAGGGATATTTATTACAGTGTTAAATAAAAGTGTAACATAATAAATGTGTAGAATAAATGTGCAATAACAAAAGAAAACTCTTGGTATAAACTTCAGTTTCTGTACTCCTTTCTTATACTACCTGGCTTTTCCCATAATATTATTACAGCAAGACTGTGTTAATTGTGCATCTTTTTAAGAAATGTGACTTTGGTTAAGTAAGTCTTAGCATAGTTTTGAATAGTTTGGTTTGGTTTTATAGAGTGTTCTCTATAAATATTTGAATGCACAAATACCAGATGTGCTATTTAGAAAAATCATATTAATGTTTTAGTTTTTAAAAGGAGGACAAAGGTTAGAAAGGATGGGGAATGTGCAGACTCATATTGCAAAAATAATCTACAACCAATATAATCTAAGTATGAACCGTATAAAATTAGCAATTTAATTTATATACTTCAACAGTTTCAATACATGCATGTTCAAATGTGCTAACCTACTGAAACTAGCTAGAGCCTAGATATTTTTTCTCTTCCACCATTTCAGGTAAGGAAGAAACTCTTCCTGAGAAAATAGTATTGAAGTGTCTTATTTGGCAGTGTGGTATCTTTTGGCCTTGGTATGTGTCTATTCTATAATAGGATAAGTAGTTCTCCCTAGAGTTTGGTCATGTGGATGCCCACAGGAGATTTCAGAAATATCGTGTATATCACCAATTGTCTAATTTGAAGAAAGCATTTTTAGTATATCCCTCAAGGCTGACTATTTAGCACTTCCACTGTTTTTTCTTCTGGCAAATTTGGGTCAGTACCTGTGGTTTATGAAGACTGGAGCATACTTGGGCTCCAGGTATACCAGGAATCCAAGAGTGGTTGGGAGCTGGGGGAGTGAGACAGGTCTAGAAAGTAAGAATGGAGTCAAGGAAGAACAGTTTTCATGAAGGGAGTGAGCTGACTCAAGTGCTACCAGTGGGAGATAGATCAAATTTGTTGCCAAGTTTCATTTACCGACTTGTTGAATTTGAACCTCCTATTTCTGCTCCAAATACCAAGGTTAGCAGTGGGATGTTCTTACAGGTAGTACAGACCTGTTAATTTGTTTTGTTAACTTGTTCTTCTGGCGACTACTTTAATGACAGTTGATTTGGCTCATCACAAATCATTATGCCTAGAATAAAAGCAACTGGAAACCTATATTCCACTGATAGGGACTCAGTGGCATCACTAATTCTGAGGCTTGCACGATAGTTCTAGTCCACAACTGCTAGTTTAATAGTGTCATGGGGTTGAATGATGGAGTGCTAACCTTGGTTAATTTATTTTATGTTATTATTATTTTTTTTCTTTAGAGTACTTCTCATCTGTAGTCAGCAAAATCCTGTGGGCAAATTGATATTCTGTGCAGGCAGAATAGATCCTGACCTTGAGTTGGCCTAGGTGTGTTTTTTACTGTTAAGAGAACATAATTCAGGATGAAAGCTTGTCCTAGGAAGAAATGGAAATCTAGGTAGCTTGGTGAAGTTTTCAAAAAATGATAAGAAATTCCCGTGGAATATATACAACTCAATGGTTTAGAGATATTGGCAGTTTGAAATATGATAAGGAAGGTTTGTGAAAGCTGATCATATGAGTTTTTTCCTTTATTCTGTTGATTCAGTTAATACTGATTTATGTATATTGAAACATCCTTACATCCTTGCAATAAATCTATTTTAGAAATGATGAATTACATTTTTGATAGGCCTTTAGATTTGATTTTTTAGTATTTTGTTGAGACAAGGACAGAACATACAAAAACTATAAGCCAATATTTCTGATAAACATAGATATTGGCCTATAGTTCTTTTTTTTGTTGGTTGTGTTCTTGTCTCCTATTGATATCAGAAGGATGCTGGTCTGGTAGAACGAGTTTGGAAGATTTCCCTTTGTTTTAATTCTTTGGAATAGTTTGAGAAGAATGGACACTCATTCTTAAAATTTGTTTAACCAGGTATGGTGGCACATGTCTGTAATCCTAGTTTCTTGGGAGGCTAGAGCAGAAGGATTACAAATTCAAGGCCAGCCTGTTAGTGAGATTTTATCTCAACAGAGGCAGAAAAGGCATCAGATAAAATTAAACATCTCTTCATGATAACATCCCTGAATAAATTAAGTATAGAAAGAATATATAACAACACAAGGAAGGCTATATGTGACAAAATCATAGACAGGTACAGAGTGAATGGGAAAAGCTGCAAGCCTTTCCTTTAATATCTGGAAAAATACAAGGATATCCACTCTCACTACTCAACAGAGTACTGGAAGATTTAGCCAGAGCAATTTGACTACAGAAAGAATTAAAGGAATTTGATTAGGAGGGCAAGAGGTTAAATTATATGTTTGTAGATGATATGATTCTAGGTATAGAAAAACCTAAAGACTCCACTGAAAGACTATAAGAAGTGAAACAATTTCAGTAAAAGATACAAAATCAATATGCAAAAATCAGTAGTATTTTTATATACTGGTAACAAATTTGCTGATGAGAAATCATGAAAACATTTATCCCATTTATGTCAGCAACGAAAATACAAAAACAAAAATTAAGAATCTAGGAATCACTATATCTAAGGAAGCAAAAGTCTTTTACAATGAAAATTACAAAATACTGACAAAAGAAAGTGAAGATACAAAAAAAAAAAAAAGTAGAAAGTCCTCCCATGCTCATGGACTAAAGGAATTAATATTGTTAAAATGTCCATACTACACTAAGTGATTCAAGATTTGATGCAATCTCCATCAGAAGACCAATGGCATTCTTCACAGAACTAGAAAATACAATCCTAAAATTCACATGGAAGCACAAATAGCTAAAGCAATCTTAAACAAAAAGAACAAAGCTGGAGGCATTGCAGTATCTGATTTTATGACATACTACAAAACCACAGTAACCAAAACAGCACAGTGCTTGCATGAAAACAGACACATAGACCAACTGAATAGAATAGATATCCCGGAAATAAACACTTACACCTATGGAGATCTGATTCTTGATAACAGGGCCAAAAACACACATTGAAAAAAAGCCAGTCTCTTCAATAAATGGTACTGGGGAAACAGCACATGTAGAAGATTGAAACTTGACACTTCTCTTACCCATATAAATATTAAATCAAGATGGACTGTTAAGCACCTCTTCTAAAAAATGCACATTAAAAATTAAAACATTAGTCAAAATTATATTATGCAATGAGTGATTCCTTTGGAAGACAGATTTGAAAATGGATTATTCTTGCAAGAACTCTTAACCCCTGTCCCCCTAAAATATCTTTGAACTTCAATTTTGAGAAGACTCTCTTTAATGCTTGTCTTCATGAAACCCCCTTTTAAAACAGCAATGCCTCTAACCATTCCACAGCTTTCATTAGGTATGATCTTAATAATTGTACAGTGCACATTTGACCAATGCTAATTGGGCCCTGTTGAAATTGTAACTGAGCTAATACAGCTGAGTAGGTTATGCATGCAAGCATATGAATTGTTGGAAAAAACAAACAAACCTATTTGCACATAAAAGTTCCCTGGACATCTATCAGAGTTGTTTAATGAGCATATGACCAGAAACTCTGTTGAATATTTTTAAAGTTAAAATAAAGTTCTAAAAAGTCAACTCTTACCAAATGCAGCAAATATAGATTACAGTAAGAAAAAAACACATTTTTTTGTGTGTGCTAAAACACGTTACCAAAATTTTTTTTTTAGATTGTGGGATTCAATTTCTTCTTCATTTCTTTTTTGTTTGTTCATTCTCCACCCCTACCTCCCACCTCTCTCTCTCTCTCTTCTCCAATCTATAAAAATACAGAATATAATCTCACATTACAATATTCATATTACAATATTGTTTACAATCAAGATGTCTCCCAGAGGAGAAGGCAAGTACCATGAAGAATGTCTGTTACAAAGTTAAGATTTGACTGTACAAACCTATTGTGTGTGTGTTTTAACTAGGATTCATAGTAAGATCCAGTTTTTTTTTCTCCTGTCAACAATTTATCCATTAATGCATCATATCTTTTATGGGTTGATATACCAGACTCTATACTATTTTATCTAACTTATCTTGTTTAGGCTAGAAGATAGTGTGGCAAATATGCATGCTGGAAAACTTTGGGTTCTAAGAAGATACTACTTTATTTTTGGTGATGGAATTCAATGTAAGTCATTTCTTGCTCTATATAAAGGAAAGGCTGCAAATGGAGAATGACTTTAGTACACCAAATGGTTTGAAGGTAAGAAAAGAGAAGAAAAGTTCAATGTAAAAAGGCCCAGGGCAAAAGAATGGGGTAATGGAGGAAAGATGGGAAGGGTGAACAAGAGCTGAGTAAATTCCATGGAGGTGGGTGGGGAAAGGGTGGAGCTGGGACCATTGGCTCAAGAGCTGAGCAAGAGCCCAGAGAATATAAAAGCCTGGTTGAGCCAGGTAGGAAAAGCAGGCTGAAGCCAGGGAAGCCGCACAGGCTCAGGTCTGTGGGTGAGATCTGTTGCATTCTCTAGAGAAAGGCTGCCAGTGCCAAGAAAAAAGGCCCAGATGTCTCACCTGTTCTTGGTCCACCTCCTAGGAATCTGGCTGCTGCTGAGCCAAGTTTCCACAGCACCCCAACCAGGATGGTGGGAAGAGGTTGTTCAGATGTGTGGTCGCCAATTAGTCCGAGAAGTGATCAACATTTGTGGCCATGCGACCTGGAACAGGCCAGTGAGATATCCCCATCGGAGATCTGCAGGTGAGAACTTTGGTTTGCCTAGGCTTCCCCCATCTGCCACCAGTGGTCCATCACTTCCCATTGGTTGCTATGGGCCTGCCAACCTATCCAAAGGGGACTCAGGAAGTCTGAGATGTCATCCTGCTAGTGGTGTTTGTTGCCCAGCTTGAACCTTTCCTTTATAACTTGCTTTTATTGAAAGAACCTCGAAGGGAATCTTGCCAGAGGGAGGAGAAATGCAAGAATAGCAAAAAGCCTCATCTAAGAGATACTTGGTATTCTTTTCACCTGGTACCATGTCAACACTGTGGGGACATGGGGGAAGCCACAGAAGAGGTGATGCTGCACAATTTCCAGCAGGAGATAGGTACAGTCCTGGACCCCAGAGGAAAAGCTGAGTAGGTCAGGTGGCAGGCATGATGGTAACCTAGCTCCTAGGTGGAGCATCTCCTATTCAAAGGAAAGGGGGCAAAAAGTGAGCTGGTGAGCTGGTTATCTTCTAGTTTCTGTACCAAAGGATACATTGCAGCATGGTGAGACCTCTGCTGGGGTCCTGAAAAGTGAGACAGCAAGTGTCTTAGAATTAGTGACTATCCTCCTTGTTAAAAACTGGCAGTGGCCTATGCCACAAAGATTACCTCCACTCCCTTTGAATGTACCTTGTGGTGGGAGCCTAGCCTCCCCACCTTTTGAATTGGGTCTCGTACAGAGGTGATGGAAGAGAAACAAAAATGACTTGATGAGTACAGAAAAAACATAAAGGACACCAGGGAAATGGGAAGCTTGCTTCTTAGACCAGGAAAGCTGAAGACTTTATTGTTGCTTTCTAAAGTTTTAGAAATTGCAATGAATATATTTTTTTTAAAAGCAAAATCTCAGAACTAGGAGCAGTTCAAATATGGATTGGTTTTTAAAAAATATGTTTATTATTTCTAAAGCATTTAGGAAGATTAAATGGAAGCCAAGTTAAAGAAGCAGTGAAAACCCATAGAGGGTTCTATTAAATCCAGAGAAAGCAAGCTCAATTACCAACAATTAAGTGTTTTACATTTTATATGGTGTATGTAACTTATCACAAACTTATCACAAAGTAGATTTGTGATACCATTTGCATATAGTATACATAAGTGATCCTCATGTAGAATCAATGTGCAAAATAAATACATTTACTTTTCTTTCTTTTTTGAGCATGAAAATGATTTATTGATTAGACATTTGATTGTTTTAAGCAGTAGGCCTATTGAAGATAGAATTACACAGCTCATGGAATAGAAAAAAAGTTCCATCCAGCACCTGCATAATTTCATATTTCCTGGGGACAATTTATGCATTCTGTATCATAGCCTCACCCTAAAACATCTACAGTGCTTGATGTTGATGAACTTGAATAGGATATAAGAAACTTCACGGATGCTCAGTTTGGCAAGTATCGTTAGTGATGTGACTTTCAGAAACATTCTTATGCACTAGAAATAGCACTACCAGCAGTGAGTCTTTGAAAATTAAAGAAAAGAATGCCATTAAATATAATCTTCAAAACAGGAAGGAAAAATATATATCAGAAACAATGTTGCAATGGGATTTTCTTTCTAGGAAATTAAAAATGTAACTTTTAATTAATAGGTGATTTGTTGGTATTAAAAATCAGAGAAAAACCCAATTTAACATAAATGGAATTTAAGAAAGAATGCAGGACTATTAATATGGAACAAGAGCTTAACTTCTTTGGCTAACTTATTAAAAACTGCCAATTGAACATTTTTAGTCAAATTTTATTTAAAAACAACAGCAGATCAACATTACAATTCAATAATCTAATCTAAGTATGCACTTGACAATGAAGCACATCTGAGTATGGAGAGAGAGAGGGAGAGAGAGAGAGAGAGAGAGAGAGAGAGAGAGAGAGAGAGAGAGAGAGCTAGAGAGTATGAGAGAGAAAAGGGAGGAAGGAGAGACAGAAGACTTGGATTGTCAGCCTGTTGACCCAAGAAGAACTGAGATGTCTAATTTGTTCAGTTGAGACCAGGCATCATGTCAAATCTCCATTTTTTAGAAGGCAATTAAAAATCACAATTTCAACAGCCCACAAATCAAACAAAAATATTATAGAAAGAAATTAAAACTATGTTCAAAGAGCTTTTTCTCCCAGCTTGTTTTCAGCACCCCAAGGAAAATAAAAGCATCCATGACTATCACAGATGAAAACAAATGTATGTCATTGGAATCAGTTATTTTTCTCTGAGGTATCATTTTCCTGAGGTATAAAATCTATATAGAAATTTGATACCATACTGTAACAAATTGTATTCTCTCTCTCTCTCTCTCTCTCTCTCTCTCTCTCTCTGTGTGTGTGTGTGTGTGTGTGTGTGTGTGTGTGTGTGTTGGATATTGAACTGAGGGCCTTGTGCATGCTAGGCAAGCGCTCCACCAACTGAGCTATATCCCCCAGCCTCAAATTGTACTTCTCATAGTTCTGTTTTAATTTTATTTAAACCCTGTTTAATATAATTTTTTCAATGTTGTTTTAATGATCTGGTTCCAGTTCTTTTATATTTGCTTTTATGTCAATAATTAATATACTGGCTACCAGTTCTAATCAGGAAAAAAAATCTTGATAATCTCTTCATTGACAGCACCCAGCAGAAATTACTGATGTGCAAGCAAACCATAAAAGATGCAGCTCTCTAGAAAGCACATTGTGTTGACTATTTCCTTGTCTGAATATTCTTTTCCATGATTCTTGATGAGAGACTGTTTCAATCTTGTAAACATCAGTGTGCGAGTCTCACTACTATGCAGTTTCACGTTCTTGGACAGGAAGTGAAAAGCTAGAGAAGTCTGAGTTTTAATGGCTGATAAACCTTATATCCTGTAGAGGAGGAAAACACTTTTCCTTTTTTGCTACTTAAGAATGTGGCAGAAACGCATGCTGAGGTAGTCCATTCAATCCTTATTTTTTTCTTTTCTAAAAAATTTGGTCTCAGAATATTTCGGGAAGGGTGACATTTTGAAGAAGACACTGCTGGGACCAGCTTCCATTGAAGTCTAATGCTGGGCACCTAGCTGTCCTCTTCTGTTGCTTTATCCAGGCACAGATTACTATTCACATGCCGCAGGGTTAATTTCACTGGATCATATTCCTGGAGCTGGTTGCTTTTTAGGTGGTGGCATTTGAGCATGGTAACTGGGCCATTAAATTTGGATACATCCAAGCAAAAGTCATCTGTTCTAATTTCTTTATTGGCAGTATAAGAGAAAACCTGATTGCCTCCCATACCATGAAAATTAAAAATTCCAACTTTTTCATTTTCTCTTTTAGCCATGTTATCTAGACACTAATTTGTTTCCACATTTCATATCTCTCCCAACAAAAAATAGTGATGTGGAATCTGAGAATCAGGGTAAATATTCTCTAAGTACCAAGAAAAATGTTTGTATTGTAGTTTGTGTCTTAGACCAAGTCTTGAAGATATATCCCCATAATCTATCTTTGTCACACCTGGAGAAATTAGATAGAAAAGATTTTTGAGTTCATCCATTTATACTTCTGCAAGTTGTTTGTTATTTTTATTGATAATTTGCCCTGTGCCTCCTGGAAATGTGTATGGATCAGGTAACTTTCCAAAACACATGTTCAACATGTGAGAAAGTAACAATTTCCAAAGTTCCTCCACATTGCCAAATCTTAAAGGAGATTTCTAGTTTTTCCTCCTCTCCAAATATGCATTCTAGCATCATATGTTCCAATTTCCTGACCGTAATCTCTGTCTGTTGGAAAAAGGTCTCCTGCCATTGTAGGTGATCTACCAGGAAGAGTCTAATCATCTTTCCTTCTGTCCATTTCTCTCTGGGAAACAGGATACCAGCAAAAATTGAGCTTCCAGTTGAATCCACCATAGGTCATATCAGAGCTTGCCATGTACTCAAAAGTATCATCAGTGATCACGTCAATGATAGGACATATCACTGTTCTTCTGTCATGTTTGATCCTTGCTAAGAGAGGCTCCAACCACCCCACTGTGCACTGGTGATGAACATCTAAGAAGGTGATCACCTGGCCTTTGGTCACTGTAGCTCCTTTCAATCTAGCTCTGATCAATCCAGAATGCTGTTCCATTCAAATTACATGATCTGGCACTTTTATTTATTTATTTTGTATTTTTTGTGGTGCTAGGGACTGAACCAGGGCCTTGTGCATGTGAGGCAAGCACTCTACCAACTAGCTATATCCCCAGCCCACACTTTTAGTTTCTTCACATAATTCTCTAGAGGTCTTTTCAAAAAGTCTCTTTCATTGGCATCATTTACTAGAACAGTATCTTCTATCATGAGCTTGGTGAGCGATTAAGGACACTATGGACAGTTCACAGAAGTGTCCTCCAAGCCTCATTATGGAAAACAATCACCACACTTGTGTAGGAAGATTATCTGGATACACCTTTGTTTTACACCCTTCTAACCTAACATCTGGTAAAGATCTGTTGTTTGCAATCATCTCACTTGCCATTAAATTAATTGAACTGATTGATTTTAAACATCTCTTTCATCTTTTCTTGATCCTCTTTAGGAATGACAACTGGTTTCCCCATTTCTCCAGGACCTTCATGAGCTTTTTATGCTGGCTGTAGAACATTCCTAGCAGGAAGTCCTCTCTCATTTTTCTCATCACATTTGTTGCATTCATTGAAGTAAAGCAGCAAGAATGTATCCAACAGTACCCAAATTAAGGAGGTGGCTAGGACCACCCTGCAATTTACAAATTTACTCATGGCACTTTAAGTCAAATGCAAAATTTAAAAAGAAAACACACACACACACATACACACACACACTATGAAAATTATTCCAATCCAGTTTCATCAGAAATCACATTCACACCCCCAAAGCAGTTTTTCACATGAATTTCAAATCCATGTGTCCCACATCTTCCTGTTCCGTGCGCAGCAGTGGTGGCTGCAAGCGATCCTCTGGGCAGTCTCTGGCAGTCACAGCGCAGTTCCAATGTGCTGCAGAGAAGGCGCTACTCTGGGGCTGCAGTCTGCAGCACTGCACATTTACTTTTCTTTATGGGATTTAAAGTATGATTTAAATTTATTTTCTACATTGTCAGAGATTGATATAATGCCATTCATTTCATAATTCTTGTATAATAGTTATAAAGAATACCACAGAATCTTGGAATTTACTAATTCAAACTAGGAAAGATGAGATTGCTTTGTATTTGCTTTTTGTTTGTGTTCTTCTAACCTGTTTCTCTTTTCAATATCAAAGTCTATTGACTTGGAGTAAATAGTCTGGGGAAAAGTGATTGCTAAAGAGATTTGTGAGAGACATATCCTCAGCTAATTATATCAGAGCTCTTGGAAATTCCTCATTTTAAACTTTATTCTGAAGCAGTAGCTTGCCACCATGAGTTTGGATAGGTTAAGGTTATTATGGTCCTCTTTAAGGGTTACTATCATAAGTCAAATTTTTTTAGTAATGGAAAAATTACTAAGATAAAAAATCAAAATCCAGCATGGAGCACTGGCATCGACAGTTGTACTCCCAGCAGCTAGGGAGGCTGAGGCAGGAGGATCACCAGTTCAAAGCCAGCCTGAGTATCATAGCAAGGCCCTAAGCAATTTAATGAGACTCTGCCTCAATGCAAATTTTCTTTCAGTGTGGTACTTCCAATCCATCTTTTCTGTCCCACTTTGATTAGGCTCTTATGTATAAAATATATTTTCCACTGCTTGAACAACAAAGGTTAAAGTAAGATGACAAATAGTAACTAATATGTGACCATGGCAATGGGGTGAGAGTAAAAAGCTGGTGGAGGCTGCAGTGAGCTGCAGGTGCCTTCAATATGATGTTGGGATGCAGTTTAGTGGTTAAGTGCCTCTGGATGCAATCTCTAGTACCAAAGGAAAAAAAAATTCCATCTTTTGTTTAAATTAGTGATTCAATGAACAGCATGACATCAGAAAGATGAGAGATGAATGTCAAAGCAAAGAGGGGATGACGAGAAAAAGAGGTGACAGAGGACCAAGTGGAGTAAAGCAGAACTTTGACAAGATTATAGTACTTTAAGCTACTCAAATATAAGGAAACTGGGTTGCTTAGATAGCAGGATACTTGCTGCTTCTTGTTCACTGTTCAAGTATATTGAGGAAATGCCTTCGTTTTTGTCTCTTCTTACTTTTACAGTTTTCCTGATGATTCTTGACATCAATATTTTCTCCCCCTCCCCACTTATTTTTTTAAACTTAATAGATATCATGCCGTCCTCCCTCAATGAAGATGCAGGTGCCTTCAATATGATGTTGGGATTCAGTCCTAATTTGCCACAACAGCTGAGGGCAACACCATCTGAGAGGCCGCCATTGTCACTAGAGCTACAACGACAAGAACCTGCAATAGAGGATTCAAAGCCTAGTCCTGAAGAGTTGAAGGATATTATTCACAATAGACAAGGGGAAGCAGAAAATAGCCTTTCAAAATTAGAATACTTAAGCTTGAATACTCATTCCCGAAAAAAGCGACAGATCAATGAAGATTCGCTGACTGAGAAATGTTGCCAACGTAAATGTACCAGAAGATTTATGCTTAAATTTTGCTAAGATGAAGCTAATTGTGCACATCTTACCTGATGCTCACATGTATTCTTGATGAAATTTTTACTGATATCTCTTTCTGGCTGCATGATTATTAGAATATGAGAAATTACTATATTATTTGATTTTTTTCATTTGATGTGAAAGGAAATGTACTTTCTGTTTTGTAGTTTCTGTGAATAAAACTTCTTGTGCTGAAAGTCTTTTTGTCTTTTTTTTTCACAATCTGATTACATTATTGCTTTTTAGTGCTGTTAGTTAATTTTTTTTTCAATCTTTGTCACTTTACCCACACATAACTCATTTTAATGCAATGCCTAACAGAAGTTATATAAAGTGGATCAAATGCTTTTATTTACATTAATTCTTAGATTAGATATGCCTAAAACCACAAAGATTTGACTCTTTTAATTTTTAAACATTTTTATGTCTTATTGAATAATTCATTAGAAGCAGTCAGATTGAACACTCACCTTTATTTAATTAAGGACATATAAACTAAGGTTATATTCTCAGGTGTAGGTTTTGAGAGACAAAAATAATTTTTAAAGGAGATAAATGGATAGACATATATAGAAGAGAATAAGCAACTCAGTATCATATATATTACAGAACTAACTCAGTAAGGAAAGACAGTTTATGCTTAATGTTTTATAACTTACAAACCATTCTTTTAACCAAAGCAATTGTAGAGTAATATGAAAACTTGTTAGAAAAGTAAATAACATAGCTGCAATCTTCGTTTTTTGCCAGTTCCTTCAAATTACGTATACGTACATGTTAGCCAGCATTTAAATGGGAAGGTAATATATTACATCAAATGTCTGGAAACAGAATTTAAATGGATTAAGACAGAAATTTGCATTTTGAATTCCATACACACCTAATGACAATGATACTTCTAGAATTGATTAAATCCTCACAAAGCCACTTTGCACAGCTTCATAAATGACTAAAAACCTTGGAGACCACGAACCACTTTGGATGAAGTCAGGAAGATTACAGTCTAAAATGGAGCTTTCAATGAGGTTAATGCCAGGAAACTTACAGAAACTTACATACCAGAGAGCACAAAGGGCTCCCACCCAGATGCACGAGTCTGCTATTCACTACTGCCCTGATCCATGTCCTGCATCTGGTCCTCCACACAATCCATGGAGGCAGGGTTTCTGGAACAGTGTGTATTTACTGCTTTATGACAATGCCAATTTTCTTTCAATGTGGTGCCTTCAATCCGTCTTTTCTGTCCCACTTTGATTAGGCTCTTATGTATAAAACATATTTTCCATTGTTTAATAACAAAGGTTAAAGTAAGATGACAAATGGTAACTAATATGTGACCATGGCAATGGAGTGAGAGTAAAAAGCTGGTGGAGGCTGCAGTGAGATGGAGAGTTTTTACCCATCAATTCCTTGTATAGCAGCAAAAGACAATCTGTGGTTAGCCATCTACTACCAATACTCAACCAGCTAGTATCTTTAGTACATCCAGTGCTTATGCTACTAAAGTCTACCTAAACACCACGAGAAACCGATCACATTCGCTCAATGCAATTCTTATATAAAAATTACTGTTCTTGTACATGTATCAGTTTGAATGGTATTCTCAGTGAATTACAGAACACACTAAAGCAGTGGTTTAAACAATGCCTATGGAATAAGCATCCAACACTGGTTAGCCTCTGAATGATGCAGGAAGATCCATGCTTACAAGTCAGCCATGCTTAACAAATAAGGCTCCTTCCTGATACTCTACACCTTTGGTGCCAAGATAGCTGTTTCATCTCCCTCTCTCAGTGTCTGTTTCAGGCAGGTAAGGAGGGGAAATAGAAATGCTTAGTAATGGTTCAGAAGGAAATAAAAAGACTCCGAAGTTGTGTTAATATTGTATTAGCCAGAACTGTGTCACATGGACAGGGCTGCCTGCAAAAGATACTGAGAAATCATATTCAATGCTTGTGAGCTCAAGAGCTGAAGACAAGGGAGAAGGTTCTAGGAAAGCAGACTGGGAGTTAACCTATAGGGTTACACATGTTCTCTGTTCTCGAACCAATAACACCTCATTGAAAGACAATGATGTTCAATTATTTATCTTTGTCAGTAAATTAACTCAAGTGGTAATGGACCAAGTGATACTCAGCAGGGAGGGGGATTTTGGAATCCAGTAGACATGGGTAGGAATCACAGCATATGCACTAACCAACTATAAGCAGGAACAAATTTATTTCCCCTTTACAAAGTGCTTTGTTTTATTTTTGTGGAAAACATTGATTTTTATGTTTAAATGATTAATTAATCAGAAATTATTACATTCTAGTTCATAGAAAAATATAGTGAAAATCGAGATTCCCCAATTCACCCTGAGCTCACCAAAACCAACAGTTTTCTCTGTTATTAAACTCTTGCATTAGTGTGGTACATTTGCACCAACTTATGAACTAACATTGATGGATTTTTATTACTAGTTTATGCTAGCTTCACTCTTTTTGTTGGACTATATGGAGTTTTAGTTCCCTGCCTGTAATTCATTTGGATGAGGATTTTGAAGTAGAATAACTATATCACGTGGCCAATAGTTCTTACATTCTCAAGTTGTTAAGGAATCTTACATTCCCACCAGGAATGAACAAAGCTTTCAGTTTCTCCATATTCTTGACAACATTAGCTTTTTCCCTTTGGAAATGATAGATATCCTAATAAATGTGTAATTCTATCTCATTATACTTTCTTCTTCTTTATTTTTAATTAACAGAGCACGATTGTAGACATTTAGGGGGTACAAGGAGAGGTTTTGACATGTATATATAAATACACACACACACACACACAAAATATAGAATTGCTAAAACAAATTAATTCATGTGCCCATCATCTTGATCACCTGTCCTTTTTTGCAGTGAAGCACTTGAAGTTGACTCTTACTTATTTTGAAAATACCCCAAACATTATTATTATTATTGACTCTGGTCAGCCTACTGTGGAACAGTTCTCAAAACATTTTTTCTCCTATCAGATATTTTATGCTCTGATCAACAAATCCCCATTATTTTTATTCTCAAGCCCCTCTCCTAACCTTGGTACCTATCATTTTGCTCTGTACTTCTAGGACCTCGACTCATTCGGATGCTATGTATAAGTGAGATTGTATGGAATTTGTCTTTCAGGGCCCACTTTATTTCACTTAATACGGTGTCCTCCAGGATCATTCCTTTTGTAGCAAATGACAGGATATCCTTATTTTGTGAGGCTAAGTAGTATTCCCTTGTGTATACATACGCCACATTTTCTTTTTTGATCCATTGATGGAAACATAGGTTGTTTCCACATCTTGGCTCCTGTGAACAATGCTGCAATGAACATAAAAGTGCAGATATCCTTTGGATTACTGCTTTTCTCCCCATCCTTTCCAACACTTTTTTTGTCTTTTTGATTAAAGCAAATCTAAGATCTAAGACATGGTATTCTGGTTTTATTTTACCTTTTCATTTTGTCTAGTGATGCTTGCCTAACATTTTTTTCTGTGACTGTTGACCATGTAGCATTGTTTGAGAAATGTCTATTTAGATTCTATGCTGGTTTAAAAACAAGGTTGTTTATTTTCTTGCTGTGGAGTTGTTCAAACTCCTTATGCGTTTTGGATGTTGACCCCTTATTGGATGGATGGTCTGCAAATATCTTCTTCCATTCTGTGAGTTGCTTCTTCATCTCAATAATAGTTCCCTTTGTTGTGTAGAGCTGTTTTGTTTGATATCATTCATTTGTCTATTTTTATTTTCTTGCCTAAGGTTTCAGGATCATATTGAAATGAATTGTTACTGAACCTCTTTGTGGAACTTTTCCCCAGTTCTTATTCTAAGCTCTTCAATCAATTTTCATTTAGCTTCATTCATTCTGCATGTGGTAGGAAATAGGGTCTACTTTCATTCCTTCTCAGTGGACAGCCACTTTGCCCAGCACTATTTGTTGAAGAGACTGTTCCCTTCCCATTTGGTGTTCCTAGTACCTTTGTTGAAAATCAATTGACCATAAATGAATATGCTTCTGTCTGGGCTTTCAATTCTCTTCCAGGAGCCAATGTGTCTGTTTTCAGCCTGTACAGTAGTGTATTGATTATAGTTGCTTTATAATATGGTTTGATGTCATAAATTGTTATGCCTACAAATTTGTTCTTGCTCAGGATTGTCTTGGCTATTTGGGGTCTTCAGTGGCTCAATTAAAAATCAATGACATTTTTTTTCTGAAAAATGATATTAAAAATTTCATCAAGATTTTATCAGATGTGTAGATCCATTTTTCACATTTTTGTGGTGTTTATAAAAGGCTTTATATTTCTCATTTATATATTTTTTAATTGGTACTTTATAATTATACACAATGAAGGGATACTTTGTTACATACTTGTACATGAAAATGATATAACAATATAATTTGACCAACATCATTTCCCAGTCTTTCCCCTCTTCCTTCCTCTTGCCTCCTCTGATCCCTTTTACTTCCTTCAATTTTCAAGAGATTCACCCACCTGAACTTTTCATTTCCTTTTTACTCTTTTGTTTCCCCATATAAGAGAAAGCATATATCCCTTGTTTGTGAGTTTGGCTTATTTCACTTAACATAATATTCTCAAGTTCCAGCAACTTTCCTGTAAATGATGTAATTTCTCTCTTCTCTTATGGCTGAATAAAGGAAAACTCATTTGTGTTTACAGATCTCATTTTCTATCCATTAATTCTGTTGATGAATACCTAGGATTTTTTCATAGTTTGCCTATTATGATTTGCTGCTATAAACATGAATATGCATGTATCAATATAGTATGGTGCCTTTAGTTCTTAAGAATAAATACAGAGGAGGGGTACAGATGAGTCATATGGTGGTTCCAGGCCTACTCTTTTGAGAAACCTCCATACTGCTTCCATAGTGGATATATAAATTTAAAGTCCCACCAACAGTGTAAATGTTTCCCTTATTCTCCATAAACTCTCCAGCATTTATTATCATTTGTGTTCTTGATGGCTCCCATTCTGACTGGGGTGAGATAAATCTCAGTGTAGTTTTGATTTGCATAGAAGAGACATTTGTACTATGTTAATTATTCCAATCTGTGAAGATGGCTTGTCTTTCCATTTATCTGCATTTTCTTCAATTTCATCAGTGTTTTGTTTAAGCAGGTATTTCCTTCTTAGTTATATGTACACCT